TGGCTTGGGAGCCGTTGGCGCGCCGAGCCAGCTCCGTGACCCGCGGTCCTCCCTCTGAGTCTAACCTACAGTCTGGTTGTCTTCCATTCCTGGTTGACGGTGCAATCTTCTGTTTGGGTCATTGCTCTTTGTGGGACTGGCAGGGGTTGAGAACCAAAGAGGCCTTTTGCCTTTTTGAGAATGTTCATGGCAGTCTGCCCTTAATCCGGTTTGGCTTCGGATACTACATTTCCGATACTTGCCTCTTTTTTTTTTTTTTTAAGTGGAATGGTTGTTCTTTCTCTAAGATGTGCTGGAAGATTAGCCCAAGGAGTAGTCTGTCCATTGCATATTTAGATGTCTTGCATTTCCCTGCCTTTCCCAAGCCTCCCCTCTGTGTGTCTCTGCCTCCACCCTGCCTCTGGCCCCAACCTCCTCATTGTTTCTCTCGGTGGGTAACAAAAGTGGTGTTTTTGTTGGCTTGTTTTGTTCTGTTTTTTTTTGTTTGTTTTTTTTTTAAACAATTTACTATTTTGTGTTGGCTTTGTTATTTTGGGAATACGCACAGCAAACACATACAGCAGTTCGAATTTCTCCGCCTACGATTCAGTGGCTTTGATTCTATTCTTCAAGCTCTGAAACCCGCCTCACTCTCCTTTGCTGAGTGGGCCTCCCCTGGTACAAGTACACAGCCCTGAATCATCAGGTTCCCATCTGATCTTCTGAGCTGCATTGTCAGTTTGATCCCATAGACACACAGGTCTTAAAGGAGCATGATGTTCAAGGCAGAAGAACTTCATCACTGGTCAAGCGAGGCTATTTGGTTTTAAAAAGATGTTGGGATATTTCTGGTTTTAGGTTTAGAAATGGTCTTACAGCGGCTAGTGTCTGGGGTCCATCCAGCCTGCAGATGTGTTGGAGCCATTGAGAATTTGAAATGCTGCCCTACATTTCCCCCCTTTTGATCAGGAGTCTTCTGTAGAATCTCTGAACAAACTAAACTGCCCAGGAGTGGTAGCCAGCTAGGAGTTCAGTCAGCAATGAAGCTCTTGAGCTTCCTTCCTTCTCAAAGAAGACTTGCTGGTGACTTGAATTAAAGAACTTCAGGGAGCAGATGTTTCGCCGCAGGTGGAATTGAGGGCATTGCATCAAGGCATCCTTTTGCTAGGCCTCTGACATATGTTAGGACCTTGACCACATTGGCTCCTTCGCTGGCTATTAGTGTCCCATCTCCACAATGAGGGCAATGCATACGCCCCCTCTCAGCTTGGACGAGCTTGGCGTCTCTGCCTTATTCATTCTTTCTCAATTTGAGGGCCACCTCTTTCCCTTCACCAAGAGAATGGTGAGCTTGATGCATGCATGGCCAAAGTAAACACATTGGTTTGTGGGTTTTTTCGCTTTCATACTTTCATTTATGTTTTATTTAAGCAATAAATACACGTGGGAAAGCATCAAAGGGTAGCAGAGGAAAAGGAAAATCTCCTCCCATCTCAGGCACCCAATTTCCTCTCCAGAGGCACACACCCTGCCATCGTTCTCTTGTGCTTCTTTCCAGAGACATTTGGTGCAGACACACCGCCCAGATAGCATGCCCATGCTCATGTTGTGCACAGTACTGCAGTGAGCGCCCTGACACACCCTGCTGTTGGTGTGCGCTGTGCTTTGGAAACAAAGCCACGATCAAGTTCCACTCTTTCTCAGTCTCTACAGTTACTACTAACCAGAGAGGCTGCATCTGAATGATCAACACAAAAACTATGTGAGTGGCACAAAACCAGCTGTGTTAGGCTGGGTTGGATAGAGAAACAAATCCAGAGACACTCACAGATGTGTAAGAGAGAGAGCGTTATATCACAGGGCAATCGTGTATTGAGAAAACATCTCAGACCAGTCCACATCAAGTCCATAGTCTGGTATTAGACCATATGTCCGATATTAGCCCACAAAATCCTCTTTGGACTCACGCAGCACATGCAATCATGCAGAACGCAGGAAGATCACAGGCCAGTGGGTGCAGAGTCTTGTGGATCCAGTAGTGGTGGAAGCATCTCAGCGCTTTCAAGGGTCTCCATGTGGCTCCTCCAGCTTTCTGAGTGTGTCTCTTCCACAGGAAGATGAAGGGGGAGAGAGAGAGAGAGAAAGGGACCCGCCTCCAGGGAGAAAGAGAGGAAGTTCCCAGAATCCTCATGAGAAGGCCACACCCACAAGAAGGCATCATCAGGCCGTGACCTGATTGACAGGCTAGACTCCACCCCTATATTATTTATCCAGTATAGAGCACATGAAATGATGTAACTTCCACACCAGCCTCTTCAGCGTTCTTGGGGAGTCACTCTACGGAGGTCTGTAGAATGCCTGGTGTTTTGAAGACTAGCATAGATTGATTTAGAAGAGGGCTTCTTCACATCCTAAGCTCCCCAGATAAGGGTTCAGGCCCTAATCCGCCGGGCAGTATCTGGTTTGAATAACAGAGTCCACTGTGAGGACACCTGATGCAATGTTTTGTGCACTGACTAGGGCGGTCTGTGTCGGTCACAGAAGATGCTCATCATCCAGTCTGTTTATCATGTCAGTATGCTTAGACCTGCACCGGTTTCTCTTAACTTCTCTAAGTACGTATGAAAATCAGCATAGAGTTAATAACTCGAATCTTCCATGCCTCGCTGTTCGAATCTGGGGATTTCTGGTTTTGGAACTAATCAGTCTACACTTTTCTCTTGAGACATAACTGGACATCTTTTTTCTTGTTGTTTTAAAGAAAAATGGGCACTTATGTTTTCAGAAAGATTCAGAAATGCCTATACCTTGAAATAATCACTATATTCCCGTGATGCCTCTCTCTTCTGACCTGGCGTGCTTTATGAATGAAGCCCTTTGTATACCTGGATTTCATCTTACTTGAATGTATCGCCCCTGACCTCCCTCCACAGTGCGTCAGCCAGAGATCGCAGTGATGCTCTCACAAGTTAGAGAAGCGAGACACCCATGTGGGTAATTTGGTATCGATCAAATAAATTACTTGCACTTCTAAAAATTTACTCTTCAGTTTTCAAACTAAGAGCTTAAGACCCAGCCAATGAGTTTTACTCATTTGTCAGATCATCTCCTGAGCACGCCCACTTTCTGTCGTGGTGCCAGCAGGAAATATTTGCAACTAGAGCAAATTCAGGTTGGGTCAAGAGAGAGATAAACTGACCGAGTATCCTAGTGCCCCGTGGTTCGGTCCACATAAATCAAGTTTACAGTGATCTCTGTGTCTGAGTCCTTTGCCTGTGTCTAGAGGGGACCTGCCGGAGGCTCAATCTGACCAGACACTCTGTAGATAGATTCTGGGTTCCCACTGGCCTCCATAGCCTCCCACAAACTGAGTGCTCGCAAGCTAAGCTCTGAGACTTTCCCCTTCATCATACCTGGACTTTGTTACTTCATCTTTGGATCACACAGGCTGGTGTGCTTCTTCCGTATGGACTTAGTTGATACCTCACTTAGATGGCTGCTTGTTTGAATACAAGCCTTTGAGACCCCGGACGCTATTTCCAATTGGTAGCTGGGCAGCCTCTGCTTTTGAAGAGGTGAATTTCTAACATCTTTTCATCCTGAGGAAGTAGCTGCTTTTGAATTCTTTCACCAATATTTTATAGACTATTCAGTGTTTATATGTTAGAATAGACATTTATACATAAAAATATTTATGTTTTGTATGTGAATGAATATATATATATATATATATATATATTCTTACATAGTCACACACACGTTTATTCACATATACATGTATATCCCAAAATCTAGGTATCTAGTTCTGTTTTCATACAATCTGATTTTTTTATGTGTGGGCCACAACGACTAGCTCTTAACCACCAGGTCAAGATGCACTCACTCCCTGCCACCGAGGCAGTTCTGCCTTGTAGCCACTCCATAAGAGAGGTTGGCATTACCCCTTTGTGTCACCGAGGTGGTAGCTCTTTGTGGGAGTAGAAAGCCTCATCCTTCTCCCACTCAGTGGCTGGTGGTTTTGAACCGTTTTCCTTGTACTTAGCAACCCAGTACGTAACCGCGACACCACAAGGTCTCCCTGCCAGGTCCGCAAATGCCGTCGTTGGTATCCTTCTGTAAAGTGAATTTTTTAAACAGTGAGTGGTTTTTAAAATAGTCTACCATTCAAATTTGCCCAATTCTCACAATAAGGACAGACACACCTTTCCATTTATTTGCGCACACAGCGGGGCCCGAGATGACAAGGTGTTGTTTCATACGCTCACTTCTTTTCCGAGAAAAGATCTCGCTCAACTTTTGCCATCTTTGCTTCTGTTGCCCGTTTGTGACACAGTGATTAGCATGGTGACATATTTTAACTGAAGATCCAGAAATGACATGTCATAGATCTTTCAGTACATCGCACTGAGAGACGTTCGATAAGTAAATTTTCAAGTAGCCCAGTCAACGGCTTATGTGACCTTGGCAATGGCACCCCAGGTAGTGCGGTGCTGGCAACAGAGCAGACGATCTGCTTCTCCTGAGCATGGTGTTCTGTAGGACAGCCAATGAGAGATCTCTTCATCACAGCACATTGTGGACAGTCTGCTGTGGTCCCTGGAGACAGGGAAGGGTGGGAATTAGGATGTTAAACAGCGTGCAAAAACAGGAACGAGGAGCGTCCGGAGTGGGCCTGGAGCGGAGCCCCCAGGAGCCACATGAAGGTGGCCATGACTGACTGGTGGGTGGTGGCATGCCCTGGGAGGACCCAGGGCGCAGGGCGTTCAAGTCTCCTCGTCTGCACAGCACACAGTGGGCCTGGCCGCTAATCTGTATGTTCCTGCCTCCCTTTAGTGATGAATCAACACCAGCAGCAAATGGCAGCCAATAGCCTGAGCCCGCCGAGCCACCCTGCTCAGAACACACCCGCAGGGCTCATGCCCATGCCCAACGCGCTGACCACGCAGCAGCAGCAGCAGCAGAAGCTGCGCCTGCAGAGAATCCAGATGGAGAGAGAGAGGATCCGAATGCGCCAAGAGGAGCTCATGAGGCAGGTGAGCTTCCACGGCGTGCTGCGGCGCCAGGGCTTGGTGGCCCTGGGAGTCAAGGCTGCGATGGTGTTTGCAATCAGGGCAAACCTTTCCCTCAAAGCCAGTTTCTTCCCCTAAGAATCTGTCTACACGGCCTTCAGAGCTGAATTGATGAGGGTAGGGTCTAGTTATGTGAGTGTGGCTGCTAACATTGGCTTCCACTGCTGGTTTTCCAAAAGGGAGGAGAGAGAGAATGGAGAGAAAGGGGCACGTGTTAATGACCAATTGCTGTTGAACAAAATTTCCCCAAACCCAGTGGCTTAGAACGATAGCTTTTTAAGTTTTTTAATGCAATCACACAACTGCGTGGGACAGGAATTTGGGCAGGGCTCAGCGTGCCTAGTCTTCTGTTCTCTGTGGGGTGGCGGAGTGATATGTAGCTGGTGGGTTGAGCCGGCCTGCAGGGTCCCAGGTGGCCGCCCTCCTGTGTGTGGCACCGTGGCGAGAGAAGCTGGAAGACAGTCACCTGTCCGTGCTCCGGGCTTCAGTCTTGACTGAGCCGGGTCTTCGGCTCTCCTCTCGCTGGCACCGGCCACCCAGGGCAGCTCAGATTCTCCCAGAAGCAATGTCCCAAGAGACAGGGAGGGGGAGCTGCCAGTTCCCAGGGCCAGGCTCGGGAGGCTGTCACAGGGTCACTGTAGCCAGATTCCTTGGGGTCCAAACAGTGGCAGGGCACACCCGGATGAAAGCAGATGGTGGAGGGGACATTCCTTGGGGAGACAGAAGCCCTGTCTGCCAGGGTGCATAGGAAGAGGGTGGGGAAGGGGCAAGGGAGAAGGGAAATGGTGTTACCCTGAACGTTGACAGTGAGCTCTGCCATCCTCCTTTCATTCCTTGGCTGCGGTGTGTCCACCGTGTGTCAGGCCGAGCCTGACCCGTCAGAAACATGTTTGGGAGGGAAGGGGCCCCCCCACTACCCTCCTCCCCCCTCATGGCTGGGCACGCGGAAGAGCAGAGACGCCTTCTTCTGCGCTGCAAAACGAACGTAGCCCGTGTTTGCGGATCTCGCTGGCTGCATCTTGGGGAGGAGAGCTTCCGTTTGTCCTTCTCATTCTTCAGACGTTGCTCCGTGACTCGTGGCCCGAGATGCATGGGTCACCCCTTTCCTCCGGTTTAAGGAAGTGGGTGATTCGGACTGTTCCGGAGAACTGTACTCCGAGCAAGAGGCATCCTCCTTGTCAACACATTTTATTTTATTTTTAAGTTCCCTCTGGTGCTTTCAAGAGTATGCATCCGTGCGGTGGCGGGGTGGCATGTAGCTGGTGGGTTGAGCCGGCCTGCAGGGTCCCAGGTGGCCGCCCTCCTGTGTGTGGCACCGTGGCGAGAGAAGCCGGAAGACTGCCACACGCCCATGCCCCGGGCTTCCGTCCTGACTGAGCCGGGTCTAGCTCGTCATTCCTTATTCCAGACACGAGTAATATTATTTCCCTTCAAAGCAATGCTAGGGCCGTATAATGTCAGATAGAGTGTGGGTGAAAAATAGTGCCTTAGACATGACTCCTAAGCTCAGTGCCCCTGAGCCGGTGCTGCAGATGGGAGACATGGTGTGCTCTGCCACCCAGCGTCCATCCCTCTGGAGTTGAGAACTGCGAGCCGAGGCCTCCCGCAGCTTCACGGGGCCTGCAGCTCGACGCCCGAACTTGCACACTTGTTTCACGGGGGCCGGTGTTTCTTCTGTTTTCAGACATATAATATCATGTCTCTGGGCAGGAAACAATATCCTTGGGAGAATTCCAGGTGGGATAGTTTTTCTTACTTGACATTGTAGTGTAAACCACTCAGGGTCACAGTGGCATTTATAAATTCCTAGGGTGAGACATCTTGATTTTGGTTGGATTTGGGTTTTTACACAAAGCTATAACCCTTCTGCTCATCTCCCAAACCAAAATCTCTTTCTCGGCTTCCAACTTCCCCTAGGTGTCTCGTGTGCCTGCCCTACCTCTGTCTGCCCACAGAAAGCATTTCTGAAAAAGGGGTGGGGAGGGGCGACCGTAAAGAATAGTTCTCTGGGCATTTGCTGAGAGACCTGAATGTTGAGGTGGGGGTGGTGCGCATCACCTTGGGGGGGTTCCTGTGGTGTGGTGCTCAGCCTCACTGTGTCCGGGCGAGACCAGGCCGGGCCCAAGGAGCTGCACAGGAGGAAGGCTAAGTGGCATCTGATCTACCTGCTTAGCTGCCCTGCAACATCTGGTAGAAACATGTAGGGATGGGAGAAGGATCGCCTGGGTGAGGTGTCAAGATGACCTACATTAACGCTCTTTTACTAGCACCCTGCCCTGGGGAATCAGCAACTGCCTGGCCTGTGTCCTTGGAGTCAGCCTGCTGTCCTTGGCTTTTGGAGCGCCTCGTTCCACAACCTGTGTGCTCCGGGTGGCTCCCCCTCCAGGCAGGCCTAGACCCACCGTGAAAGAGAAGTCCCAGGCGGAGACCCTAGCTCGGGTTTTTCCACAGGATGGGTAGGTTGGCCATCCTGAACCACTGGGCGAATTTGATCAGTCGATAATGAAGATGAAAATGTCCCAGGAATGGGTGCGTGCAGGGTCTTTTCTTCTTACTCCTGGAGCGGGGCCTCACTCACTTCCCACCTCTCAGATATCAGCCAATACCACAATCGTAAGAGACAAACAAACCAAAGAGGCTCCGGCCGTTTGCTCATTAACGATGGGGTCTGGCAGTAACTTCCGCAGAGGTCTAAGGCCAGAGTGACTGGCCGGCTGTGGTGTCAACCTGGCTGGGCCTTGCTTCTGGGGGTGGGTGGCCTTGGGTGGCCTTGGCAGTTGTGTAGTGATGTGCTCATGGAGTCATGCTCCGTTTGCATTACTTCCACGTAATGCTAGTGTTTTGCGTTAACCTGGCCCGGGAGCCTGACCAGGTCATAAGTGAGGAGAGGGTGTCGTCTAACGCCGCTGCCCTGTGGAATGAACAGCTCTTCCTGTTGTACCGTCTGACATGCACACGGTGATGCGAAGAATCTATGAGCTCTGAAATTCTACCGGACCATGAACCAAAAAACGGATGTGAGGCAAGTCTGATTACAAATCTATCGTGAGCCCCCTGCGTTTCTTCAGGATAGAAGAGCTTTCTCTGTTGTTTATTTGTTTCCTTTTCTGCTGTCTTTCCTTTATCGCCACCTTTACGCATTCCACCAATATGTACCTAATGAAAAGTAACAGGAAGATAAAGAGGGCGTTAAAACACACACACACACACACACACACACACACACACACA